AGTCACTGATTTAATTGCACAATGCTCTTACCCCATGCAAAGGGAGATCATGGCTTAGTTTTTCTGCCTTTCTTTTTCTTGGCCTTGATTTCCCTTGGCCTGTATTTCACATTTGCAAGCAGTGATATTATGCCATATTTCCTCTGCTGATCCAGACTTTGTTATGATATGAAGACTAAATTCATCTATCTTATGAGATTGTATTTCCAGCCCTTTCTTCATTACTTCTGTAGCTTTTTGTGCCTAAATACTTACTATTTACTTTCTGGCAATTGCCACAAATATATATCCTGTCCTGAATAAAGAAGGTAATCTTTTTTTCAAGTTGCATGGTCGCTGTCTTACTGTGCCCCATAGTTGATGCCTGAAATGGTATTGGCCGTTCTCCTGTTTAACTGTGTGCTATATCGTTATGAGATCGTATCGAATTCTATTTAGTATTTTTCCTTAGTTTCTTTTACCTCACTATATGCTTCTGTGTTTTTATCTGACAGTTTTTAGGTTCCAATTCTCCAAAAATGGGTTCATTTTTGTTCTCCTCTCTCTTTATTGGGTTAATTTCATAAGTGTTCTTTCTTTGCCCTGATGGTGTTGGCAGCATCCATGGTTATTTGTTATCATCTACCTATTTTATTAGCATGCTGTTATTCCTTCTTCAGATTCCTTAATCAAGTTAATTCAGCCCTGGACTAATCTCATTAGTTATCCCTCCCTCAGTCTAATTACAGTGTTGTTTTATCACTTTGCAAGTGTCTTTTTATCTGAGATGATTAGAAAATGTCTCTGACTAATGTTCTAAAAGATGTTTCCCTGAAGTTAACATCTCACATGTGGCAGATGTTGAAATGTTTTAGAATTTTGTCAGACAATACAATCAGCTAAATATTTAATAGAAATTTGTCCTTGTGCTTTGTTACATCATTGATGCCTACACATTTTGTACACTCTTCATAATCCTTTCACTATTTCTTAACAAGATTTATAGTTCACAGGATCATAAGGAAGGAAACTCTAGGGATCAGCTAATCTAATCCTTAGAATGATTCAGTGGAAAGAACATCAGCTTTGGAATCAGGACCTGGATTGAGACCCATTTTCCTACACTTATGATCTGCGTGTAACCATCCTGTTTTATTTAACAGAGCAATTACCATAGAGGGTAGTTCCTACACATGTTTTTGTTCTCTCTCTCTCTCTCTCTCTCTCTCTCTCTCTCTCTCTCTCTCTCTCCTCAATAATTAGATTAAAGACAAGAACCATTTCTTATTCTTCTCTTGTATTCTGTCCATTTCAGTACCTAGCATAATGCTGGGCATATCAAAAGGACTCAGAACTTCCTTGCTTGTTTTTGTCAAGGAAGAGTTAATGAGATTTAGTGATGGATTTGACAGAGAGGAAATCATAGGAATGATATATCTGATGTGAAATGTGAGAGGGAGGGAGTAACTATTGATGTTGTGAGTTTAAGACTGTTGAACCTGCCAATCAGAGGTGAACATTTTGATTATTCAAGTATGCAGAAGGGGATGTGGACGCATATAGAAAAATGCCTTTTGTCACATAGGTGTTGATTTAGGGACCTGTCAGACCCATCCTGTCCATCCACAGATTTTAAGGTAGTTTTACCCTACTTAACTGTGTTTAGAATTGTAAGCCACTATATTTACTGACACAATTCCCCCTAATTTTTTTTTAATAGGTATTTAACTGCTAACAGGGTATTTAGGTAAGGAATTGTATGGTGAGAATGGTCTTACCAGCTTGGCAAGACTTCTTAAAAACCTATGCAGTAATTATAACTAAAGGTTGCCACTTTTTCATGGATTCATAGTGTTGAGTTCTAAGGAAGCACAGAGATCATCTAATCGAACCTACTTTACTTTATAACTAATGAAACTGAGAACTAGAGAAGGGAAGTTGCTTGTTCTAATTTAGTTAAAGCTAAAACTGGGATGAGAACCCAGACATATCTGGAGTCCCAGTCCAGTACACAGAATGCAGTTTAGTGAATGTTTGTTGAGTATGTACTTGATGCAAGGGACTGATCTGGTGTAGGGGAAAGAGCAGTGGCTTTGGGGTCAGAGAACCTGGGTTCTCAAGTTCTAGCTCCTGGAGCTTTAGGAAAATCACCTTGGCAGCTGTGTGCAGACTGGATTGGAGAGGGAGAGACTTCAGGCAAGTGAGGGAATTTAAGAGGCTGGTGTGATAGTGCAGGTGCCAGGAGAGATCAAATCCTGACCTGGGATGGGGGCTATGTGAGTAGAAGGGGATGAATGTTAAAGTTGGGGAGGCAGAATTGACAGTAATTGGCATCTGATGGAAAATGTGGGGTGAAGGAGAACAGTGGGGTGAGGATGACTCCAAGCTTGTGCAGTTTTGTGCCTAGGGGTGGGGAACCTGTGGCCTAGAGGCCACTTATGGCCTTCTAGGTCCTCTGGTGTGGCCTTTTGACTGAGTCCAGGTTTTAGAGAACAAAGCCTTTTATCAAGGGGATTTGTTCTGTGAAGTTTGGATTCAGTCAAAGGGCCACACTTGAGGACCTAGAGGGCCACGTGTGGCCTTGAGGCTGCAGGTTTCCCACCCTGGTGCCCTCTACAGAAGTAGGGGAAAGGAATGAGTTTAAGAGGAAAGATAGAGTTCCGTTTTGAATATGTTGTGCCTGAGGTGCCATGGAACATTCCACTCATGCTGTGTGAAAGAAAGGGTATAGGAATATGGCCTTAGAATCAGGATGACCTGTGTTTAAGTCTTGCATGTGACAGTCCTGTCTCTCTATTCTTGGGCAAGTCACTTAGCCTATTAATACTCCAGACAACTTTCTAATACTTAATAAAACCTACAGTTTCTGTGGAGGCAGCTAGGTGGTGCAGTAGATAGTGTTGAGCCTGGAGTTAGGAAGCTTCTTTTGCTGAGTTCAAATCTGGCCCCAGACACTTACTAGCTGCACGGTCCTGGGCAAATCACTTCACCCTGTTGATTTCAGTTTTTCATCTGTAAATGAGCTGGAGAAGAAAATGGCAAACCACTCCAGTATCTTTGCCAAGAAAATCCTAGATGGGGGTCACGAAGAATCAGACACAACTGAACAACATTAACAACAAGCATTTCTGTAGCTCTTTAAGGTTAAAAAACACTGTTCATACATATTCTCATTTGATCATTACAATAACTCTGTGAGGTGTTTGCTGTGATTATTCCCTATGACCCTAAAATTATGGAAAACAGGAAGTTCCCTATACTGATGAAATCACAGGTCTGGACTCCCTTTCCTACCAAAAATGTTGAGTTGGCGGTATGGGGGAGAGGGAAGAGATCCTTTTAACTGCAGGCCTGGCAAATAGGATTACTTTTATGACATGTATATTATAATAATAATGATAATGAAAATAATAGCTAGTATTTCTATAGTGCTTTAAGGTTTAAAAAGTGCTTTATAGTTCATTTCATCCTCACAACAACCCTGTGTGTGAGGTAGGTGAGATTGATACGCATAATTATACAGCTACATGTTTGAGGCAGAATTCAAACTCAGGTCTTCCTGACTCTGAAGTGCAGTGCACTATCCACTGTGCCATTTTAATTGATAAGGCAATTTGGCAATTTTTGCTGTAAAGGGGACACACAGACACACACAGACACACACATGCACACACATACACTCACTCATGTTCCTTTGTGTTAGCATTCAGTTAAGTTCAGTCAATAAATGGGTTTAGAACAAAATCCCAAGTGAGTTTAAATTGAGTGTTTCTAGGAGAATTTTAATTTGGCAAATGGTTATCTCTGAATGCCCACACTGAATTCATTATTTATTGTTCCTCTGATCAAGAATCTTGACCATTTGATTTTGTTAGTCCTGAATTAAACCCTAAATATGTGGAACCGGGGCCAGTATTACAGTCTTGCCTGTTGGACCATGTTTTCTTCAAGACAAAGAGAACTTTCATGTTTAAGTAATCACCCGGGTGCATTGTGAAACTGTCCAGCTGCTTAAACAATTGGTGTAGGCCTGATCGTTCAGATGGGTGGCTTGTTTGAAAGGCTTTTGTGCCAGCTAATACTTTAGTACAATCAGCATAAAGGAATTTCAGTACTTTTTTGATACCTTCAAATAGTCGACCCATTACAGATGCCAAAAGTATCAATCACTTTCTTGGACACTGTTAATCATAGATAGCTCTCTTGCATTACCTTCATCTCTCATTCAATGCATTTATTTTACTTTTGAAATATGTTCTGAATAATATGAGCTAATGCAGAGTGATGTAAACAGAAGAAGGAAAACAATATATGTTCATAAAGGAAAACAATAAGTACAACAGTGGAAATGGAAAGGCCAAAAAAGCTCCTAACTGAACTGTATAATTATAATGACTGAACTTGAGCCTGGTGACCTGTGGAGAAATGCCCTTCCCTCTCTTGCAGAGGTGAGGGAATCTATGACTGTGGACGATTGAATATTCTATCAGACCAGTTGATATGCTGATTAATTTTGTTGAACTGATTTTTCTTTTTCTCTTTTTTAAATCTTTGTTAAGCTATGGAAAGGATATATTTGGAAGTGAAGGTGATAGAAAAATGAAAGATTTAACACAGATTTTAAAAAATTATATTATTTTATATTATCTATATTTTATTTTATATATTGTTTTGCATTATTATTGAAGCCCCTTTTGAAATAATTTTAGAAGATGTATTTGATTGTTAAAAATTAGCATCCTAAATACAATGGGCTTGTGATTCATACATTTGCAGAAATGTTGAATGTATGATTTTGATCTGTCAATTGCTATCCTCATAAAATCTCGCTCTTTATTTGTAAAAAATATTTTATTTTTGTCCTTGTGGTTAATTAAATGGCCCCAGTTAGCATTAATTTGTGCCATTAATAAAAATAAGTGCTTATTGACTGAGTGAGCAATGCCTTAAACTTTTACTTGTTCAGAAAGTTTGGATTATGAATATATATGAAACTCACATAACACTGTTTTGTCTTTCAGCAATTTTTTCAGCTAGTAAAGTTACGGAAACTTGGACTTAGTGATAATGAAATTCAGCGGCTCCCTCCAGAAATCGCTAACTTCATGCAGTTGGTAGAGCTGGATGTGTCTCGAAATGGTAAGCGAAAGATAATTGATTATTGTTTACTACATTTTGTGACCCAACAAATTGAATTGAGTAAGACATTATTGGTGGAATATATACTTTTTCTTGAATCTCGTGGTTCTAAGAAATATTTGTATCCTGAGTACTTATATACCTGATACATAGTAAGAGGTCTAATGGAAAGAGGGCTGATAAGTTGATGTTAAGGAGACGTGAGTTCTGATCCTGCCTTAGACATTTATCAGCTGTGTGATGCCTTATAAGTCACTTATCCTCTCTTAGACTCAGCTTCCTTATTAGTAAAAGGAAGATAATTTGAACCTATCTTCTGGGGTTTTTATGAGTTTCAGATAAGATAATGTATGTAAAGGGCTTTGCAAATTTTAAAATGCTACATAAATGCTTAGTAGTTATCACCATCATCATCATTGCTTGGTGTGGAGTAAAAAATAAATGAAACTATCTGTTATTCTTGAGTAGTTGAATCAACTCTAAATAATTGCAAAATACTTACCAGCCCACATTCTTTTTTGAAATCACCTTGTTCCTTTTAATTCAGGTTGTCTTTTTAAGATCCATTCTTTTTTACTTGCTTGACATTTGTTTCCTCATCCTGGGACAGTGTGTACTTCTAAACCTTGTTGAATACTGTTGATTTAAGTTGCAGTTGTGTTTCAGGGATATCTGTGACACATTTATCCTTTACTGTAGTGTTGTGAGTATTTTTAAATAAATAAAATCTGTTCACTTGAAAAATTTTTGCTACTTCACAAAATATTCATCTGACTCTTTTTTAGTGACCATCTCTATCAATGGTCACATGTCTGCTTAGTTAAACTCTGTTCTGAAGAAGCACACTCATAATGTCTCAATTCTATAAAAGTATTTTTATTTAAAATAAGGAATACATTCTTACATAAGGCATAAAGCCTTTAGCATTCAACTAAATAGGATTAAATGAATCAGCAGACAAAAACCATGAAAAAATACTTTTTATTTTGTTTTCTCTTTCAAGGTATTGATAATTCTTGTCAGGAAATTGATAAGCTTTTATAAAAGCAAAAATAATTACTGGTCCCTGATAAGAATGGCAGTGATTGAAAAGGAAATTTTTTTTCTATCATATTTCTCATATGAAGGTTTATATACAAGATATAAAGGCATCAAGCAGAAATATATATGGCCAAAAATCATTCTCCAGTTGATAAGTTGTCAAAGGATATGAACCAACAGTAGTTAAAAAAAAAGAATGGAAAAATATAACAACTTTAGGAAAGAATACTCTAAATTAGGATTTGGCAAATATGATGGGAGGGCCAAATTGGGCTACTATATAGCCCTTGAGCTAAGAGTAGTTTTTACATTTTTAAATATTTTTAAAATACTTTTAACATTTTAAAATAATTTTATATACTAAATACTTTTAACATTTTAAATACTAAGTTTTAAAATAAATTTTAAAAACTTCATATTGTAGTATTTCAAATACAATACCATCTTATTTAAAAATGTAAAAAACCCTTCTTAGCTCATCAGCTGTACAAAAACAAGCTGCAGGATTTTGGGCTGTAGTTTCCTAGACCCCTCCTCTAAATCACTAATAACTAAGAGAGATGCAAATCAGAATAACTCTGAGGTTTAACTTTTCACAAACAAAGTGGCAAGGAAAAGAAAAGATGGGTGTAGTCAATGACAGAGGGGCTATAGAAGGACAAGCACACTAAGGTGTTTTGGGTGGAACTGTGAATTAATCCAACCATTTTGAAAGGCAGTTTGGAATTGTGTGAGTAAAGTGGCAAAAATGGTTACACTCCTTCCCCTAGAGATTCCACTTCTGGGCTTATTCCCCAAGGTGGTCATGTCTGAAAAGAAAGCTTTTTTGTGCATCAAAATATTTATGCTGCATTTTGTGGTAGCACAGAACTGGAAATAAATCAATTGGGGAATGGCTAAATAAATTGTGGTTCATGAATGCAATGGAATATTAATGAGCTGAAAGAAAAATGAACATGATGAATACAGAAAAACATGGAAGGACTTACATGAACTGATACAGAGGGAAGTAAGCATAGCCAATAAAAGTACCTAAACATTACTTCAATAATGTAAATGAAAAGATGAACAACCATAAAACATTTGAAAATGAATTTGCAGAATTATAAAGAACAAACTTGATTTCAAAGAAGAGATATATGAAGATATCTCTGCCTATTCTTTTGCAGAAATGGTGGGGCGTCCACAGATGTGGGGCATTACAATATAATACCAGTATTTTTTTTTTTTTGGGGTGAGGTAATCAGGGTTAAGTGACTTGCCCAGAGTCATACAGCTAGAGAGTATTGAGTGTCTGAGGTTGGATTTGAACTCAGGTCCTTCTGACTTCAGGGCAGTGCTCTATCCACTGTGCAACCTAGCCACCCCTAATGACAGTTTTTTGATGTATTGATCAATTTTATTGATTTTTTTATGTAATATTTTATTTTTTCCCCAATTAAATGGTAAAACAATTTTTAAACATTTTAAAAAAAGTTTTGAGTTCCAGATTCTGTCCCTCACCCTTCACTGAGATGGTAAGCAATCTGATATAGGTTATACATGTGTAATCATGTAAAACATTTCCATATTAGTCATTTTGTCCAAGAAGATTTGAATCAGAAAAGAAAGAAAGTGAAAAATAGGATGCTTTGGTCTGCATTCAGAATATATCAGTTCTTTCTCTGGAGGAAGATCAGTTTTATTGATTTCAATCAATTAACATTTATTAAATCCTTGCTATATTCTAGGTTCTGTTTTAAGTGCTACAGACACAAAAAAAGATAAAAAAACTCCTTCCAAAACAAACAGCTCTGCCCCACCCCATCCCTGTCCCTTTGGTTTTATACGCATGGGTGTATGGATTATCCAACCATATAAAAATCACATATATATTATATACACATATTTATATTCTATGTATGTATTGTATTTATACATAAGACAAATCAGAAATAATCACCTAGGGGAGATGCTAGCATTAAAGGGGATCAGGAAAAGCTTCTTGAAGAAGGTAGAATTTTAGTTGGTACTTGGAGGAAGGCATGTAGGCCAGGACACGGAGATGAGGAGGAAGAGAATTTCAGGCACGAGAGATAGTCAGTAAAAATGGTGAGTTGTGAGATGTTGTGTCTTATATAATAGCAAGGAGGGTATTGTCATGGGATTGTAAAGTACATGGGCTAGAGTAAGGTGTAAAAAAACTGAAAAGTAAGAAGACAGCTGCCTATGAAGGGCTTTCAGTGAAAAACAGGATTTTATCTTTGATTTTGGTAATGATAGAGAGCCAGGAAGTTATATTGCATATGGAAGTAACATGATCAGACCTGTTTTTTAGGAAGATCAATTTGACAAGGGAATGGACAGTGGACAAGAGTGGATGATGAGATCACCAGGTGAAATAGGGTAGAGAGAAAAAAGAAAAGGTCTCAGTACAGAACCTTGGGAGGATACTCCCAAGCAGTGGACATGAACCAAATAAAGTTCTAGCAGAGGGAGCTGAGGAGGAATGGACCCACAGGTACAGGGGAATCAATAGAGCTCTGTCATGAAAACCTGGAGAGAGGAGTATATTGGCAATGTCAAAAGCTGTCAGAGAGGGCAAGGAAGATGAGGATTGAGAAAAGAGCACTAGGTTTGGCCATAAAGAGATCATCGGTAACTTTGGAGAGAGCAGTTTCATTTGAATGGTAAATTCAGAATCCAGATTGTGGAGAGATCAGAAGAGTATGAGAAGGAAGTGAAGCACCAAAGGGCCTTTTTTTTTTTTTTTAAAGGAGTTTAGCCACAAAAGGGAGGAGAGATTTAGGTTTAGACAACCTGGGCTCTAATCCAGGCTCTGTTACATGTGTAACTTTGGGGAGTCACTTAACCTTTCTGTACCTCACTTTACTCATATGTAAAATGGGAGCTAGATAGATTAGGTGATCTGTAGGATAGAGTTCTTTGGTTTACCTCCTCAGATCCCTAAAATTATTTGAATTTCATATGGCTTACATTTCAAAAGCAGGAGGAAAAAGGAGTGATCTTTTATGTTTCTGAACCTGACTTTAAAGTTGATTAAAGGCCAATTTTTTAATGACATATTTTGCTTTTACATCGCCTTCATTAATTTACAAATATATTTCTCTCCTACTTTGTCCAGCAAGTGAGCCAGCCACCCCTTGTTAAAAAAGAATAAAAAAGAAAGAGAGGAAAAAAATTACTGAGCAAAACCACTCAATAAATCCATACGATACATATATTATACATATATATTTATATATATTGCATATATATATTCAATATTTAACATCCACGGTCCCCCATCTTTGCAACTCTTAGCTCTTCTTGGGGCCAAACTTGGCCATTATAATTAGACAGTTTTCATTTTTCATAATAACTAACCTGGTTATACTGAGGTAACAGTTTACATATTTCTGTGCAGAGAGCATTCACTTGACTTCTTAGAGACACATTTCTTCATCCAGCAAGTAAAAAAGAGCATATCTAGGTAAGACTATCTCACAGGACTGTTGTGAATACAGAGTGAGTTAATGTACATGAAAGTATACTATTAGTTTGATTACAACACTTTTGCCTGGAATATGAGTATAGCTAGGGAATACTGCAGATGTTGACATTGATCCCTTTTGTCTTAAAAATAAGTCAGACCTTAAAACTGGATGTCATGTAATATATAAATGAAAAGTAATGCCATAAAACTGATGGTTGAAATTACAGAATCTGAGGGAGAAACACAGTAGGAACTTTTGTAATTGGAGGTAAAAGGCTGAAATCTTAAACTATTAGAATCATATTGGGAAGAAAAAGAATGACATTGGTTTGTTTTTGAGTCAACTTTTGACTCAAAAATTAGTTTTGAGTTTAGATATGGAAGTGGACTCAATTCATTAAACATTTTAAAGTCAATACTATGTGCAAAGAACTGTGGGAAGTTGGGGATGTGGAATAAAAAATGAAACCATCCTTGGCCTCAA